CACCTCATCAACCTGAAACTTCAAAAGATTCCTCACCTCTTCAGTACTACAAGCCTCAACTTCAGGATCCTTCTGCCCCAATAACCTTTTATAGAAAGCCTCAGCAATACCACACATGCCATCTGTATCTGTAATTCTAACCCCCTCATCATTTATCAGAGATCGAATCATATTCCTTTTATTCCTGATTTTTACTGAACGATGAAAATACCCTGAATTGGAATCACCAACCTTCAACCAGACTTCCCTAGATTTCTGCCTGAGAAAAGATTCCTCAGCATCTCTTAAACTTTTAACTTCTGCTGCTATTCGAGCTTCTTCTTGAAATGTTTCAGCAGAAGGACTCTGCAAAGCACTAGCCTGAGCTCCTAGCAGCTCTTGTTCCTTCAGTTTTACTCTTTGATGAAGATCAGAGTACTCCCCTTTATTCATATTCTTCAGTTACTCTTTCAATATTTTCAGTTTTCTGTTAACTCGCACCATTGGGGATCCCACTACTTCAGAATTCCAAGCCTCCTTCACAATATCCCAGAATCTCTCATTTTGCATCCAAAATTTAAAAAATTTAAAAGGTTTAGGAAGGGACTTGATAGAGCTATCTGTGTTTACCAAAACTAGACAATGATCAGAGACTGAAGGGTCTAAGATATCCACAGTGCTAGCTCCAAATGCATATAGCCACCTGTAGTTTACAAAAGCCCTGTCCAATCTCCTCGCAATAGGGTTACCAGACTGTTTATTGATCCAAGTAAACCATGAACTAGATGACTTATGCTCTACAATCTCATTATCATACTGCCATTTCCTGAAGTCACCCATACTGGTACTAACTCCTGGAGTATTTGATGCCTCACTCACATCCCCAATTGCATTAAAATCTCCCACTATAATCCAAGGCTCAGATTGGACTTGCAAATTACCCACATCACTGTAAAGAACTCTTCTCATTGATTCTTCATTTGAGGCATAGATCACTGTAATAAAGAAAGGTTTACCCGAACTAACCAGAGCATGTATAAACTGATCAAAAGTTATAAAATGTCAATTCCACAAATGTGGCCACTTCTCAATTCTCTCTGGTTGGCGATTATCATTGTGTTATTATTTTTGTATTAGTGTTATCGTATCTTTAGCTTTCTCTTTTATTAATATTATTAGGGAAGAAAAATGGAGGGTAAATCAGAGGAATAATGAAGGTAAGAAAAAGGGAGGAGTAAATTTGCCATTTCCCCTCTCATTTTGTACTGGTCGAATCGAAGTTAGCAGAACCCTGGATAGAAATATTCACAGAATCGCAGGTTTGATATCATGGGGATAACATAATGGCAAATTTGTGTAGAACATAAAAGTGGGACAAATTTAAGAAAAAATTCTTCAATTAAAAGAACAAGTAAAAGGTTACTATTACTTAGAGTCACATCACAAGGGGTGATCATTTTGTAATTGACCAAAGGTTAAAGAAATTTTATGTCATTAAGGTTGTAATCAATTAATTTTATGCTATTAAGGTTCTAATCAATTAACTTATGACAATTGAATCCTAATTGAACCCAAATCAATGGTGTTCGACCTAATTCGACATGATTAAAGCGAGTTGAACTCGGTTTTACAAATTTTGGGTCGACAACGAGTTCTACACTCTTACATTAATGAGTTGAACACGGATAAGCGAGTTTTATACACTTAAATCAATAGACTGAGTTGAACTCGGTATTAATAAATTTTTGGCCGAGCAAGTTTTTTTTTGTCTTTCCTTTGCTTATCGATCATAGTTACAGTCGTTTTACTACTTTTTTTAGTCTATGCCTTGCAAATGATTTTTTACCAGTTTTTTTATTTTTTGTTGTGTAGGGCATGCAAATGATTTTAGAGACTTTAGGGGGGAGGGGGTTTAGATCTTTCAGTCTCGACCTTGAACTCTTTAAAACAACAAGTTTTGGGTTACTATTTGGTAGAGTCACATTACTAGGAGTATTTTATTGTTTACTTTACTTTAATAAATCAAATATTATAATTATTTATTTATAGTTGAACTCAAATTCATGTGTATTCAACCTAATTAGATCCAGATTTTTGTGTTGCTGAATTTTGGGTCAAAAACGAATTTTACCCATCTTTTAAATGTTTTCTCTTATGACAATTGAACCCAAACTCATGTGTGTTCAAGCTAATTCGAGCCGGTATCGATGAATCCGAATTTTGGGTCGAGAACGAATTTACCCGATTTTATAATTAACGAAGAGGGCCGGGTGCATTTTGTTAAGAACACGCCCGCTTTATCGAGTTCAATCCAGTGTTAGAAACTGATTAGGTCGCGTGTGGATTATGTTAGAAACTCGACTCGCTTTATCAAATCGGCAAGACAAATTCATGTGTGTTCACAAATTTTGGGTCGCTTTGGGATTGAACTCAAATTGAACCCGTCTCTTAGGACATTTGAACCCAAAATCCCGCTTTATCGAGTTAAGTCCAGTGTTGACGCATTGTGGGTCGAGGACGGTTTTACCTTTGATACTTTTGTGGGCGTTAATGAAGTATACTTTTATCCACTTTTGTAATCATCGAATTGGGTCGAGAACGAACTTTATCCACTTTTATGATTGATAGATTGGGTCGCGTGTGGATTTTGTTAGAAACTCACCCGCTTTATTAAACCGGTCAGAGAAATTCATGTGTGTTCAAGCTAATTCATGTGGGTTCACAAATTTTGGGTCGCTTTGGGATTGAACCCAAATTGAACCCGCCTCTTATGAAAGTTGAACCCAAATTCATATTTGTTCAAGCTAATTTTACACGGTAGGTGTTGTTGAGTTCTAGATCGAGTTAAATCCAGTGTTGCTACATTTTGGGTCGATGACGAGTTTTACCCTTGACACTTTTGGGGGCGAGAATGCATTTTACCCGCTTTTGTGATTGACGGATTGGGTCGCGTGTGGATTTTGTTAGAAACTAGCTCCGCTTTATCAAACTGGTCAGAGAAAGTCATGTGTGTTCAACTTAATTCAAGTGTGTCCACAAATTTTGGATCGCCTTGAGATTGAACCCGCCTCTTATGACAGTTGACCCCAAAACCTCACTTTATCGAGTTAAACTCAATGTTGACGCATTTTGGGTCGAGGATGATTTTTACCCTTTACACTTTTGGGGGCGTGAATGAATTTTATCCACCTTTGTAATCATCAAATTGGGTCGAAAACGCATTTTACCCGCTTTTGTGATCGACGAATTCAGTCGCGTGTGGATTTTGTTAGAAACTCGCCTGCTGTATCAAATCGGTTGGAGAAATTCTTGTGTTTTCATGCTAATTCACGTGTGTTCATAAATTTTTGGGTCCCTTTGAGATTGAATCCACCTCTTATGACAGTTGAACCCAAATTCATGTGTGTTCATGCTAATTTGACCTGTACCGGTGTTGTTGAGTTTTTGGTCGAGAACAAATTTTACCCGCTTTTGTACTTAACAAGTTAACAAATTGGGTTAGGTGGGGATTTTGTTACAAACCCGGCCAGCTTTATCGAGTTGAATCTAGTGTTACCGAATATTGGGTCGGGGATGTTTTTACCGCTTTTGTAATCAACGAATTGGGTTGTATGTAGATTTTGTGAAAAACTCACCAGCTTTATCAAACCGGACAGAGGAAGTTGAATCTAGTTTTAACAAAATTTGGGTCACTTTGGTATTGAACTCTAATTGAACCACGACTTATGACAATTGAATTGAACTCATATTCATGTTTGTTCATGCTAATTCGAGCAAGTACCGTTGTTGCCGCATTTTGGGCCGGGAATAAATTTTACCCGCTTTTGTACTTAATGAATTGGGTCGAGTGTGGATTTTGATATAAATTTGCTTCTCTTTATCGAGTTGAATCCAATTTTGAATTTTTTTTTGTTGTGGACCAGTTGTACCCGCTTTTGTGATCAACAAATTGGGTCACGTGTGGATTTTGTTAGAAACTTACCCCTCTTTATCAAACTGATTGGAGAGAGTTCTAAAATACTCTTTCGTAGAATCACATCACAAAAAGTGCTCTTTTTGTAATTAACAAAAGATAAGAGGAGTTTTTGTGTTATTATGATAATTATGTTGACTCATTTTGGTTAGTTTAGATTTACTTTAATTTTCATTTAATTCTCTCATCTCTTTCCACCATTCATCTCTCTCTCTCTCTCTCTTTCGTTCCTCTCTCTCTCATCTGCCCATCTCCTCCTATCTTAGCAAGACTACTGAATCAAAAGGAAGAACAAGCGAGAGGAAAAACTCCAACAACAAAATACACGAGGGAGTGATTTTTATTTCTTGGTTTACAATAATCGAACTACGACTCAACATTCTATTTTTAAATTTTTTTCTTCATTCTACCTTAATTTCGAATACCGGATACTAAGAAACAAATTATTTCAATATATAGCTTCACTCTATAATTCACTGGTTCACTTGACAACAACAAATTAATACCCGCCGCGAAGCGCGGGTTTTCGTCCTAGTCATAATAAAGAGACAAGTTATGCTATTACACCCGTCATTTTATTACCAAGAAAATTGAGTACAGCTGGTTTGCTGCTTATTAGGTTGTTGAAAGTGATGAAACATATGGACGGCTTGTCTCATTCGAATTCGTTTGTGCACATTTCCTTTTCCAATTCTTGTTTAATTAATATACATGCATGGTCTACTCTAAAAAAAATATACATGCATGGGATATCACCCTCACGCATTAACATCACAAGTACAACTATGTATATCTCTGTTTCTTAATTACATTATATAACATCACACAAATGTGTACGAAGATCACGAGTAAGTATAGCTAAATCCAGTTACGTCTTTACTAAATATACACATCCAATTGCTGGCTCACTCAGCACCACAACTTCCCTTCTCCCCAGAAGTACACCCAGCCAGCTTCCCTTTATAAGATCAACGCTTAGTTTCCTCACATTTTTCACACCAACCAACACACACAAGTTAACAGGCAGCAAAAGCTAGATATTAAGGAAATGAGTTTGCTGAGAGGAAAGCTTGAGGCATGTTTTGGGATCAGACTTGCTGCTACTCAACACCATGAAATCTTCAGCAACAGGCCACACCACGTCTCCAACATGGCACCCACCAAGATCAAGAACTGCGCTCTCCATGGAGGCGATTTCGGCCAAAAGGGCGCCCTACTCAACTGGGACTATATCCATGGTAAGTTGACGCATGGTCACTGGGACTATCTACGTACTAGTTGGTTTTAATAACTCGAATCTATATGTATGCTGATCAGATGGGGCTCACAAGGTGGCCAAGGAAATAGTCGAACACATTGACGATGTGAATCTGTCGATCACCTTCAAGGTCATCGAAGGAGATCTTACCAAGGAATACAAAGAGTTGAAGATATTCGTCAAGGCGACTCCCAAATCTGACAACACTAGTCTCATCCACTGGACTCTGGACTACGAGAAGCTGGACGAGGATGTCGCCGAGCCTTTCTCCTTCATGGAATTCCTTGTTCATCTCAGCAAGGATATCGATCTTCACAACACCAAGAAGTGAGCATCTCATGTGTGTGTATGGTTCGATGTAATTCCCGGCCCCCATGATCAAAAGCTAAGTGCATGCATGCATGCAGCATTGCTATGTGTATGTATCTACGTACCTTTGTTAGGTAGCTAGGCGTGGTTGCGGTTCGTCGTTTAGTTCCATCGCTTAGCTATGTTGTCCTTATACTACGTACTTAAAGATATATATGCAGCAAATAATAAATAAATAAATAAATAATAAGAGGGGGTTCAATATGTCTTGGTGGATTGTGGTATATGTGTGAATGAAGTGATATGTAATGATCAATGATGGATGAATGCGATGTATATAATCTCTATGTGGTGAATGAAGTGATATGTAATGAATGATGGATGAATGCGATGTGTATAATCTCTATGTGATGATATGTGTGAAACGTGATGATTATTAGGGATGGTAAAAATATTCGTAACCGTGGATATCTGTCCGAATCCAATCTAATTGAGTAGGGTAAAACTCAAATTCGAAAGACTTTTAGTGGGTAGGGGTAAAACCCGAACCCGAATATTGTGGGTAATGAGTGGGCATGATTTTCGCGCTATCCAACCCGAACCCGCCCGATTATACACATGTGCATATATTCTCGATATAGTTATTATTTTTCTCTAACATATTTTATATTTAGCATATACATATAATATTTTTATAAATTTATGTTCATTTAATTAAATTTTTTCATTCTAGTGAATTATTGTCATACTTTTCCACTTATGTAACGTGAGAAAACGTGTGAATGTTAACATCTTAGTTGGAGTTATAAAGAGAAATTATTACCCATGGATAACCGTGGATACTCGAAACCCGAACGGGTATGAACATGATTTTGATTTTATACCCATTTCTTATGTGGGTATGGGTAAAACCCGAACTAATTTGGGTATGGTAACAGATATGCACTATCCGTCCCCGACCTGACACGTTGCCATCCTTAATGATTATGAATGAAAATATGATGTGCATATGATATGGAATAGCCTAAAAGGTTATGTTACAGTACTCGAAAGCTTACAAGGCGATGATGGGATAATGGATAGCCTAATTGGCTATAGTGTTATACTAGGAAGCCTATAAGGTGAAATGTGAAATGGGAAGCCAAAAGGCGATGATGTCCTCATATGGAATGGTCAATGTAAATGTGCAAATGATATTAAACACAAACATACGAATGGTATGCGATTGATGCTATGCTAGATACTTGTATTGTGACTACTAAACAAGAATTGTCTGATTACCTAAATTAAACCTAATGGTGTCTTATCATGCACTCTATGAGATTGGATACTATGGCTATATGTCTAGCTCTCTAGGAGAGTGATACAAGGCTTGGTGTACTAGGTATGCTTTATGTATCTATTGGGGATGCTTTATGCATATACTAGTATACTTGGGGGAGTGCATGACTTGATAAAGTAAAAGATAAAAGACACGTAATATGGCAAACTCCAATGTGTGTATACATGATTGACTAATGGACTATGGAGTGTGTGTACATGATTGATTACTATAATATGGATGGTTATATGTACGGAATGCATTGACGATGTAATTATGGAAAATGGTTATCTTTGGGGAAAAAAGATGATGCGTGCATGGCTAGACTGGAATGTGAAATGAATGTTTTGTACTTGCCATGTGTGTGAGTGTTTGGGCGATGAATGCTCCATGCGTGTTTACAAATGGATCAATTCGAGGCGTAGCCGGGATAAGAAGGTTAATGGATCGATTTTATTCTTTGTCTAGATTGAGGTGCAACCGCATCAAATGTCAACTATTCTGTGCAAGGATTCCACACAGCGGCGGATCCAGAACGCAGAAGAGCACTGGGCCGCATTTTATTAGAAAATTAGAATCATAAACAAATTAATGATTATAGTTCTTTTACAGTGTAAATTGTACACGACGGTATCTTAATTTAGAAAATGCATCAATAATGTAGTCCACATCCATACCAATAGTATACATTGTTCCAAACAAAATACTTGAGCAATTGGCAAAAAATTAATCGCTCATTTATTGTGCAAATAAATTTTACATGTTTCTTTGTTCAAAAGGTTCTCTCTGTAGTAGTTGTTGAAACAAGCAGCGTCAACACTAGACAAATCAATATCAATTTGCATTATGTGTCCATCCGACCATCCCTATACCACCAGTTGTCTAGTAAATTTTCAAGGTAACAAACCTCATATTTCTTTTAGCCTATTATGCTTTAGAATTTTAGATTTCATTATTTTTTTAGACGAAAAATCTTTGGGGCTAGAATTTCTCTAGGCTAAATTTAGAGTAGTGATATGTTTATCTAAATCAATTTGCTAATTATATCCAATTTTATTATGAAATAGCATTGGGTCGAATACCTAAATCGAAAAATTCATAAGGCCTATACTAATTATGGTCTATGGATCCAGAGGAGGGCTGGGCCGGGGCCCGGGGTGGCCACCCCCTGGATCCGCCACTGATTCCACATGAAGCGAAGATAGCTATTTCAGAGTACAAAAAATTCCCCTAGGCTTGTCTACCTATAAGATACGTAGGAGTTCCAATAATTATAGGAAAACTGGGGTAAAATGTGTACAATTAGACTCGAATCACTTTATTCCGAGTTTTTTCCAGAAATAGCACCTTTAAAAAAAAAAATTACAAAACTAGCACCCTGCCAAAAATATTTACAAAACTAGCACCCTTTTTTATTGACCGCACCCTCGTGATGCGTTTTACAAATAAACCACATCCCCCAGGTGCGTTTTAATTGTAAACCGCACCTGGAGGGTGCGTTCTATTCTGGTGGGCCTAAACCGCACCTTGCCCATGCGTTTTCATGTCTGGCCTACATGAAACGCATGGCCGAGGTGCGGTTTATGCCTGACCTACGTAAACCGCACCTTAGTGATGCGGTTTATTCGTCCAAGAACAAACCGCATCTCTAAGGTGCGGTTTGGCCATGTAGACCGCACCCCCCAAGTGCGGTTTACGTGTCAATAATTTTCCGACACCCGACACAGCCATGCAGAGAATTATGGACGTAGGGCTGCATGGCAGACTAAAACCGCACCCTAGAGGTGCGGTTTTCACAATTTTTTCCCCTATATAAGACTTGGCGGAAAACCTCTACTCTTCACACCTCTCATTCTCTCTTTCATTTTTCTGTTGTATATCTATATTTATTTAGTGTGTTTGCCATTAAGATTAACTCGTAAGTTTATTTTGTGTTACTTTTTATGCCATTAAGATTAACTCGTAAGTTTATTTTGTGTTACTTTTTATGCCATTAAGATTAACTCGTAAGTTTATTTTGTGTTACTTTTTATTGTTATTTGTGATTTGTGATTTTTATGATATTAACTAAACTACGGTTTGTTTGTGTGCAGATGGCATTCCGTCAGTTAACGCTTGGCTTACGGTGGAATGGTTACACGGAAGAGACCGGAAAGGGGGCCACCTACGTCGGTGGCAATTTCCAGAAAATAACGGTCGGTACCAGACCGAAGCTTGAAGACCTCCATCAAATATGCACTGACGTTACTTGCATGGATGGCACGAGGAGGGTAGATCGTATGGTGTACCGATACCCAAACAGAGCAACTGGGTCATTGTGGCATGAGGAATATACCATAACCACTCAAGATGACGTAGATTCCATGCTCGAATTCTTGAGGTCCAACAAATTGGCCAAAGCCGAGATGTTCGTTTACACCGAGCCAGCCGTTAGTGTTGGAGGTCATTCTGGACACGGTCAAACATCTGGTATCCATGGTGGAGGTGAATTATATGACGATCATCCCTACCAAAGTTACCATGATCCTCATTCCTATTTTCAGTACCAAGATGGAGGGCAAGGTGCAGGCCATCATCAATCTTTCTCGTCATATGAAGAAGAAGTTCAACCGGACATCCCCAACCAAGCCCAGTACAACTTCTTGACAGGCAGCGGTAGTTTTCACAACTACCATTATGGAGCTGATGAAGGTGCCTTTCATGAGGAGGATCAGATGGAGGCTGCCACACCAGCACCAGTCAGCGACCCCTCTGATGAAGAAGGAGAGAACAACGTCAGTGCAGACAGCTCAGACCCTCTTGAAGGTGCTGATGATTCAGCACCAGATTCAGATTCAGATAATGATCATGATGTGGCTCCTGACCGTGTACCAGTCCCCTACTACAATCACATTCCAGACGATAATTGGATGGTCGACAGCGACATGGAGCCGCCAGAGGTCCCAATATGGGGCCCACTCACTAGGTTTACGAAGGGCCAACAATTTGGCTCGAAGAAGGATGTGCGGCACGCCCTTGAGACTGAAGCAATGACTCGGCATTTTGAATGGGACACAACTCATTCCAACACCAAAAGGCTCATAGTCAGAACATACTAATAATTTAAAGAGGTACATACATATTATCGTAAAGAGGTACATACATATTAAAGAGGTACATACATATTATCGTAAAACAAACATAATTTAAAGAGGTATTTTGTCAATGAATAATAATTTAAAGAGGTACATACATATTATCGTAAAACAAACATACTAAATTAATTAACATAAATAACATTATCAATGAATAATGATTTAAAGAGGTACATACATATTATCGTAAAACAAACATACTAAATTAATTAACATAAATAACATTGTTAATGAATAATAATTTAAGTAGAAACATACATATTCAAATGTTTGGTAAATAATTTAATCGTATTAGTTGTTTTAAATAATTTAATCGAATACAAAGCAACACTCGTTAGACTCTTAGAAGAGGTATACATCTTCTTAGAAACGCAGTCTTTTTGACAGAAAAAGGGGGGATCCGAGGATCTATTAATACCCGATTTTCCCAGGTAATGGGAGGATATGATAATCGCTTAAAACCCCATTTCCTTAGACGTGCATCTCTTTATAAAGAGTCGAAGTAAGTGGCGCTATGTATTCGATTAAATTATTGAAAACAACCAACACGATTAAAAAATAAACATAAATTTATTTATATTACACTAGGCACATTAACAAAATAAAAGAAGGACAAATGGTGAAGAATTGTATGTACCGGGTGATCGTTCCAAATATCCCTTGACCGATGGTTGGGTTGGTCGTACAAGTCGGTTGGATCCACCGGTCCTTGCTCGAGATAATACCGTTGGTTGTATATATCGACGTCCTCCCCAACCTACGAGAAAATAACAACGAGGTTAGTACATAGATTAATTAAAAACTTATAACAACAACAAAAATTAAACCAGAATAATGAGTACATACCGCTTGAAATTCATCAACATAAACTCCTTCTCCTTGCCACCAATCGGCCATTTTTTCGGCGTAATTCGGACAGAGCTTCGGC